ATTAAAGGTACAAATTGTAAGAATTTTGAGTATTCCAAAATAATAAATAAACACCATTAGTATTCATCTCTTATGCCTAATTATTGCGGTTGTTGTTAGTATTATTAACTTTATTGTTATAATAAAAAAAAATTATACAAAATTGATTGGTTAGATAATAGAAATTAGAAATAACATTGAAATAGGGGATCAAAATTTGGTGTCTACAAAATGCCCCTCATTGATCGAGTTTGGAATAAACGATGATCAATTCTTAGAAAAAAGACGCATAAATTTTAATCCCTAAATTGAACTTTTGGAGAAACTAGAGTAAATAAATGGGTCGCTAAGGCTTGAGAATACTCGTGGTCGAGTAATTGGCCACAAATATGATGGATTTATTGCAGTTGAAACTTAGAGATTTTGATCAATTAACTAATGATCAGATGAATTTAAAAAGCCAAATAAGATCTTGATTAATAAAAAAACTTAATCGTCAATTAGTTACGGGTGAAAAGCGGCTTAATAGATTTTAATCAATTTATAAATGATCAGTCGTGGTTGAAAAACCAGATTCGGGAATCTCGATTAAAAAGTTAATAGTTAACTAATTGCCATTAAAAAATTGGCTTAGAAGTTTTGATCAATTAACTAATGCATGATCAGTCGTGGTTGAAAAGCCTGCTTCGGAAATCTCGATTAAAAACTAATCGTCAACTAATTGCGGTAAAAATTGACTTAAAAGTTTTGATAAATTAACTAATGATCAGTTGTGGTTGAAAAACCAGTTTCGGAAATCTTGATTAAAAAATAATCGTTAACTAATTGAGGTTGAAAATTCAGCTTAAAAAGTTTTGATCAGTTAACTAACCATCAGTCGTGGTTGAAAAACTAATTTCGAGACTCACGATTAAAAATTCAACTATCAATTAATTAAAATTAAAAAACCGGCTTAAAAAGTTTCCAGTGTAAAGACATAGCAAAATGGCATAAGAAAATAAATAGCTTAAAAGGTACTTCTCTAAAAAAAGTACAACTGTAAAATTGGTTGAAAGGATAATCTATCTAAGGGTTAATTTGGTTCTATTTGACCCCCTTATTTTTTTTAATGAGAAAATGTCACGGATGCCTTAAACATGAAAATTATGGTGTATAAATTTTTATAAAAGACACTTGTTGTCATATCAAAATGTAAGAGAAAATTTGCGTGGAGAATGTTTTTTACTAGTAAAGAAAAAAACAAATTTGACATATTGTGGTGGGACTGGATGCATGAAAGTTTATTGGTGTTTCAACGTATGATGAGATTTTCTTTGCGTATATAAAAAAAAAGGATTTGGTGATCAATATCCACCCTTATTCTCTTTTGATAACAAGAAGAGACTTAGTATTTTTCTTGCTTTTCTTTTCTCCTCTCTTCCAAATTTTCTTTCAAATTTATGGATATGAAAAAAAAGAACCAAACTACTTGAATGAAATCAATGAAGTAGACTACAAAAACATTCTATTTTCCATGGGGATGGGGGTTGCTTTAGAAGAGATGAGTCATGAAAAAATTTTCTTCGATTCCCTTCTTCCTCTTCTCAAACTTCCACTTTGCTATGACCTTATTTATGCATCCAGTAAATATTGGGATGAGAGGAAACATTGCTTTGGGTTTAAAGGTGAGGAGATGGTGCCAATGGTAGAAGAAATTGAAGGCCTCTTGGGTTTTGCTATGAGTGGACACTTGGTTATCACAAAAAGTGTACTTCTACAAGTGGTTATTTACAATGGCTTTTGGTCTATCTTATCATGATGACATGATGGTATGCCTTTTCATCATGATTAATTCATCCTTATCAATTGTGTCCTCGAACCTTTTAATGCAAAGTGTACCAAACTTGATCTTGATATTTCGTATGGCTCGGCACGAAGTCGAGCACGCTTGATTGCCCTCATGGATCTTCTGTCGTTTAAGGACCATCCATACACTTTCATGAATGGGAGACTACTGGTAGGGCTGGAAATCCCTGACCCAACCGGTAGTTACTAAGAGAAACCCGAACACACGAACTAAATTTGAACAACCCGAATTCAACGCGATTTGACCCAAATTTCATATTTCGTAATAATACTCCCTTTGTTTTTTGTAAAGTGCCCCATACCCTTGGGCACATAGTTTTAGGTAAAAGAATAAAATAGTATATAAGTGGGTATGGTTAGGAATAAATTTTTTTGGAAAAGTTAGAGATAGAAATATGAATGGGATTAGTAGGAATAATGTGAGAGGGAGAAAATATTATAAAATGATACTGGGGTTAAAGGAAGATAGAGAAATAATACTCCCTCCGTTTCTTTAAATATAGTTGCAACACACACTTTATCTCGTTATTTAAGAAAAGTGGACCTCACATGATATAATACACTTAAAATGGGGTTAAAAGGTTGTTAAGAGAATAATCAACTGGGCCGTGTGCTTTATATAAAGGTAATAGTACAATTTTCACCATGAAAACCTTCCTTTTATTGTGTTGCAACTATTGTGACATTTCCATTTTAGGGAAGTGTTGCACTATAAAGAAACGGAGGAAGTATATAATGTGAGCGGGGCTTCCACTTTTGGTAATGGGGAACATAAAAAAATGGTCGTTTATGGAAAGTGGGGCACTACAAGAAAAAAAGAGTATTAAGTTTTACACTATTTTTGATAGTTTTTAAGCACAACATGTGTATTCGTACATACGTACTCAGCTTTGCTGATTTCTACTTTTGTGTTTGTGTTTGACTTTCCTTTGGATTGGCCTACTATGACCTATTTATATGGCGAGTAGAGGGTTGAATAAAGAAGAAGTAACATGTACTTGAGGCATGAAGAGCATGATGGGGTAGAGTGTAGAGAGTTACTTGTTATGTTTCTTAGTTTTGATATTTTTGAATTATTGGTTATTGTTTATGGACTAACATTATTATGTTTGTTTTTAATTAGTTTTTAAGACATGTCATGTTTGAATTGGTTCCAACTTGTGAATGTTTTATTCTACTTTTGTTTTGAGGTTGTGAACTCAAGTTTTAATTTTAAAAGTTGGCTTTTATTTTTAGACTTCCGCTGTGTGGCTTTTAAAATTAGCCTTAGCCGTTATCACGGTGGCGGTAATATTTTGGTTAGTTTCTAAAAAGGGTTTTATTTAGAGAAAAATGAGTATTTTTAGAAGAAGGAAATTTTCAGGGTATTACAAAGAAAGTGATATCAGAGCCAGGTTGGATTTTAATTACCACTAAAGCAAACAACGTTTTTTTAGGTACCTATGTTTTAAAGCTTGGCCAAGTGCTTATTTAATTAAGTTTGAAATTTTTTTTAGAGGTTCGAATTTTTGTAAGAAGGCCGAAAATTCTTTTTTTTTTTAATTAAATGGTCCGGATTTTTTTTTTAATAAGGGCCGAAATTTTTTTTAAAATAAAAAGGGGTCCGAAATTTTTATTATTTTGGACAATTGTTTTCGAAAAATAAATTCATTTTATAAAAAAAATTGTATGTGTGTAGGTATGTGAAGGAATTAAGGTATGTAATTATGTGTTAATTGCTTTGAAAGCATGTGGTGAGATTGGGAATGAAAGAAAGGGCATATAGGTTTGAATTGTATGTCTTCCTATGTGCATATTTTATTTATGTAAGGTATTCAAGCATGTTGTATGATAATACGTATCTATGTGAAAGCACGTTTATGTGTAATAACCTAAATTGTATGATTGAGCACCAAACTTAAATTTTTGCAAGGAACTGTATATTGATTGGAAAAGAAATTTCTCTCATTGAGTCATAACCCGAAATACCTTGCAGGATGTTTGATTTACCTGGTAGATTCACTACCATGAGTACTTTAGTAAAGAAAGACTATGAGCATGTGTGGGATTATATTTGCAGGATTCGCTTTTATTGTACTTATAGGTCTGATGTGTTTGGAGAGCGTCATTTTGACCAACCTGACTATGTCTGTGCCATGATTGTTCATTGTTTGCCTAACTATCCTCCCTATGAAGCTATTAAGAGTCGCTTTTGTGATTTTCATTTGCCTAATGGTGTAGCTAACTATACTAAGTATAAGGACTCTAATGGTCAGTGGGGAGCAGATTAGAGACATTTATACTGTTACATTGCTCACAAAGAATTCATTTACCTTAACCCTCAATATGCTTCTTATCCTCCGCCTTACCATAACTTTAGTGATCCAGCTCCACAACAAAATGCACGTTATTATTCTTCAGAAAACAATGATTCCATGTCTGAGTTAAAACCTGAGCAAACTTATGAGAGTCAGGGTGAGCCAATGGAGCAAGATAATGAGTCTGGAGATTCTTCATGTGAAATCATTCCTAATCCAAATCCTCTAAGCCCTCCAATAATCATTAACTTAGATTCTGATGAGTCTGATGATGATCCCGAGGAAGATGATGTTGTTGATGATGATGATGATGATGATGGTGGTGGCAATGATGGTGATAATGGGAGTGATCCTGAGTATAATCTAATGAAGTACAAGGAGATAAAAGACAAGATTGACAATGTCAACATTTGAAAATTTTAGACTAACTTTCTTTAGTATTTTGAGTATTTAATTCATTCTTCATTCTTAGTTACAGTTTAATAAAATACTGCGTGAGTAATAAGTAGCAAAGCTACATTAGGGATATTCCAAACATTTCTTTTCATTATTTCAATAAAGTATCATTTATTCTCTATATTTATTTCCATTTTCAACAACCTTATCAAACGTCATTTATTACCTTTATTTTATATAAATGGTATCAAGGGAAATGACTCAAAAACATTTTTGTGATGTATTAACCTAAGTGAAATGGTTACATGACAACCAAAACAATATGTTGAATTATTAGTAGGAGAAATGAGTAGATGCTTCTACTATAATTCAAAATGACTGCTTGTATGCTTGAAATAAATTAAAGTAGCTTGATTATCGTCTAGTTACAAGAGATTTGTGACCAACCTAATAGTAGTCATCTCTTTATTCAGGAGGACTAGAATGGCAAAGAGAAACAACAATAACAATGATCTGAATGAGGTAGTAAAGCAATTAGCTGATGTAGCTCAACAATTAGCTGAAAGGAATAACAATAACAATCCTAACCCTGCTGGGGAGTTGTTTAAGAAGATAGCCCAAAGCAAACCTCCTACTTACCAGGGAGAACCTGACTCAACTGTCCTTGGAAACTGGTCGAGAGAGTTTGACAAGTTGTTTGTGGCAGTAGCATGTCCTAATGAGTCCAAAGTGAGTAGTGTAGCTTATTATTTAAGGGGTGAAGCAGATCTGTGGCGGCAGCAGAATGAACAAGCTGAGAGAGCATTACCTAATTTTGGATGGAATGTGTTCAAGGAACAAGTGAGGGATAAGTTCTACCCTATATTCTTGCAGAAGCATAAAGCTGATGAGTTCTTGGAACTTAATATGGGGACTATGTCGGTGACTGAGTATTACATTAAGTTTATCGAGCTGTCTAGGTTTGCAGAAGATACTGTGGCTACTGATAGGCAAAAAGCTAGAAGGTTTGAGAAGGGATTGCCTCTTTCTCTCCAAAGAAAGTTGTCAGGACAAGTGTTTGACAATTTGGATGAGTTGTATGGTAGAGCAGCGTATTTACATGTGTTAGAGTTGAAGGAGAAAGCTGAAAAGGCTGAGTTGGAAGCTAGGGAGAAAAGAAAGGAGCCTATGACTAGTTCTGGACCGTTTGGAAACCAGAACAACTTTAAGAAGCAAAAGTTTAACAACCACCAAAGCAATAACTTCCAGAACAATAGGAACAACCAAGGTGGGCGCAATTTTCCTAAGGAAAATAGGAACCATCCTGGAGATCGTAACCAGAGGATATATTACTGTAAGAGATGTTCCAACAACCACTAAGGAAAGACTGTGAGGGTAACTTAGTCACTTGAAACCTATGCAACAAGAAAGGGCATAGGGCATATGAGTGTTTCTCTAAGAATAAAGGGGTCAAGGAAACAACCAATTTAAGGGTAGTGGACAGAATTGGAATCCGCAAAAAGGAGGTTAAGGTAGCAATGGGAGTTAAGTGAACAAGGGGACGCAGTTTCAAAATGGCAGTAAGAATACCAATGGTGGTAACACACAAGTTAAAGGTGGAACACCAGGAAAACTTAATGTGATGGGTTCACGTGAGGCTGACGCAGCTAGAGATGTCATTACTGGTACATTTTCTATAAATTCAGTTCCTGTTAAAGTTTTGTTTGATTCCGGTGCAACATATTCTTTCATTTCTAAAACTATGCTTCCAAAACTATCGCATTGTCTGAAAACTATAGAAAATATAGATATTCCTATAGAACTTCCAAATAGGGGTGTAGTTCATTGTACTAGGGTCTATAAGGATGTTCCCATAAATGATGCGGAAGCATTCAAGGTTTCCTTTCTTGGTCTGTTTCTTTAATGTTTCTTAGATTAGATTTTGGCTTACAAGTTTTTACCTTTCACTTGAAAGGGTTTTTCTTGTTTTAAGCGTTAGGATTTCTATTTTGATTAGGAATTGTTTTGGTCTAGTGAGTTCCTATTTGAATTAGGACTTGTCTTTATCAAAAGAGAGTTCCTATTTGAATTAGGACTTGTTTTTAGCAAAGTAAATTCCTAAGTGGATTAAGACTTGACTTTGGTTTTTAGGCGTGTCTAGGAGTTTTAGGAGGATTGAATAACCTAATCTAAGTTGAATTAAACTTAGTTAGTTTAGTCATATCCGAATTAGGAACTTGGAGATCAAGTTTCGGTTTTCTTAGGCTTTCTAGGTCAAATGGGATTCTAATTCAATTAAGATTAGTCTTCTAATTTGATTAGGTTTAGGATTAGTTTTGAGTCTATAAATAAAGGTTGTAAACTTCGAATTATACAAGTTTTGTTTTGTTGATTAAAGCTTTCTTGCTTGTTAATTTGGAACGTTTCTTTCCAAGTTTTCTTTGTGTTTGACGAGTGAAGTTAAACATAAAAACCCTTAGATTAGGCGAGTGAAACCTGATTTAAGAGAGGTTAGATTAATTAGTGAGTGAAGTTAATTCAAACTATCCTAAAAAAAACCCCTAAATCACGAGATTAAGGTGAGTGAAGCCTTGAAATCAGATTTAGAACCCTTAGGCGAAAATAAACAAGTGAAGCTTGTTTAAACCTAAGACCAAACGAATCAAGAAACGCATCAATAAAGATTAAAGGTAAGGAATTCCTATCCAACCTGATTGAACTTGAACTAGGGAGACCTTGAAATAATTCTGGGAATGGATTGGTTATGTCGTTATCATTCTGAGATTCGATGTCAGTCACAGAAGATCCATTATTTGAAAACGGCTCAGGGAGAGCTCGTAACCCATTGGAGGCATGGAAAACAAAGGCATACTAAAATAATTTCTGTGGTGAAGTTGGAAAAATATATGAAGCAGGGACACCCAATCTATTTTTGTAGTGTGAGAAACTTGGAGTATGAGGAACCATCTAAACCAAAGGATATTGAAGTAGTAAAGGAGTTTCTAGATGTGTTTCCTGAAGAGATTCCATGTATGCCGCCAAAAAGAACCATAAACTTTACCATAGACTTAGTACTTGGAACGACACCTATCTCTAAGGCACCATATAGGATGGAACCTGCTGAGATGAGCGAATTGAAAAGACAATTACAGGATTTGTTGGAGAAGAAATATATACGACCAAGTGCATCATCATGGGGAGCTCCTGTGTTGTTTGTGAAGAAGAAAGATGGTAGCATGAGGCTATGCATCGATTATAGGGAGTTAAACAAGGTAACCATAAAGAACAAATACCCTTTGCCTAGGATAGATGACTTGTTTGACCAATTGAAGGGTGCAGTAGTGTTTTCTTAGTGCCATGCTGAAATTTTTCACAAATCAGCCAATGCACTTGTCAGCCCATGTCCAGATTGTGCCAGACACATAGTCCTTGCATGTCTAAGTCAAATTTCTATTAATTTGTTGTATTTTGTAGTGATTAATGTGTCATGCTTTCAAAATTAAAAGTGCAACCTTGATGACATAACCCACCACCCAGCATGCCCATGTCATGCCATGCTTTTTATAACAGGCATGCAAGTATCTACTATCTAGTAACAAGGTGCTATTGCTTTTACAATTGCAATAAGCAATGCAACTGTTTTACAGAGGAATTAGTTTTGTGTCTAGAGATTGTATTCATAATCTAATGCATTGTAAACTTAACCTAGCATCAAGTTCTAGTTTTAAGGTTATGGTCAGACCTCAAAGTCATCATATGAAGCCATCAAGGTCGTCTTATAAAGATATTTACTATTCTACAAAGAGACGTGAGAATGAACATAAATTTTGAATTTGATAATGAAACAATTACCATGATCTTTATCCAATTAGCTTGTGTATTAGCTATTATCTTGTGCACAAATTTTTAGAACAATAAACACAAACAAGATAGCGTCCTCCAAACCTGAAAACTAGCAATTTCGTCCAGCAGGGAAACGAACATTGATTTGATTCATGACAGCCTCTTTTCTTCAATGTAGAACCCAGTTAGTAAGGAAGCCTGCGTTGATACCAACTTAAATTCAATTCCCAGTTGCACCTCTGCACCTTCTAGTACCAAATCTTTTTCCCTGCAAAGTAACTAGCTGACATCAGTTCTCATCCTAAAAGTAACTAGCTGACATCACTATCGCCCTCAAGTAATTGTTTTCAATATCTCTCACTGTGATCTAAAAAGGAGGCTTGCAATAGGAATTTTCATGTCTTTCAAGAACAAACATACAAACAAAATTCTCAAAGACTAGCATAAAAATATGCTGCAAATTATCATCGACTCATGTCCTACCAAAAAATATTAGGACAAAACCAATTAGACATATAAGGCATCATTGTCAATGAAGCTGTTTCGGGGTTTTTTGAGTGTCCTGCGGGAGAGTTACAACACCAAGACTGACCTCCGGCTTCCTACACCTGCAAAACAACGGAGACTCCCGAGGGTGGGAGTTCCGCCTCCGACGATCAAGTTAGAACGTATATGAGGAGTAAAGTGCGGAATGTAAATGTGCTCAGGCTCCTCTTCTAAGAGGAGAGATCTTCCGGCTTTCTAAGACAGCCTCAATATCTGAGTGTTTCACTCTCTAGTTTGTGTGGATTGAATGTGTATTCAATATGAATCCCCCCTCAACTTATTTAAATGATCAGTATTTATAGAGTTTTTGGGACAGGTGCCTCTTAGGTTATTTAACCTAAATTTGTTGGGCTTCCCCCGTTTTACGGTTTCTAGGGTTATGGGCTTAAAGCCCGTTTTCCCCTTTGAATGACACATGTCATGCTCTAATTGGCTCATTGAGCGTTGAGCTTAGGGACACATGTTGCATTAGCATAGGTCCATTTGTCAGGGGTATTTTTACCCCAAACAAAAGCAATATCAGGGATCACTGTATTGCTAGCCTATCTGTCATTAATTTACTATTTATTTATTTTCATATGTTCATCACTTTACACAAGCCACTCAAGAAACATTTCCTTTTTATCTGAAACTGAGTGTTTTGTACTGACATCTTTGGCATTAAACTCCTATGAAATCTTCATGTTATGATTACTTATCTTTAATTCTATACATGTGGAAAAAGCATAGAGTAGTCATCATACTCCATTTTAAATGGGATTTACCCATCGTTCCAACTTAGTGCCTCCAACAGGCTATGGGGTCCCTTGTCAACTAAGATAAACACTAGTAGAAAAATTGAAAAAGGCACCCCCTTTTGCCACCGGTTCTTGAAAAACGGTGGCAAAAGTTTTGTTTTATAAAAAAAAGAAAAAAAAAAGAGGGAATATGGATTTGCCACCGGTTCAACCCAAACCGCTGGCAAAAGTGTATTTCCAAGCGGTTCGAACCGGTGGCCAAATTTAAAAAAAAAAAACCCGCCTTCAGTTATTTCGTGAAAAATTCTTCTTCTTCCTTTTCGTCATTCCCCTGCTTTCCCCTTCAATTCTCTCGTTCATGAATACCCTAACCATTGCTCTCCTTCACGCATAGGTCCGAATTTTCTCACCTCCATTGAAGCGCATTGTGGGCTTTCTCACCTCCATTGCCGCGCAGCGCAACTCCTATCTTTCTCTCCCATTCATTCTGACCACCATTGAAGCGCATTCTGACCTCCATTGAAGCGCATTCCGACCTCCATTGAAGCGCATTCTGACCTCCATTGAAGCGCATTCTGACCTCCATTGAAGCGCATTGTGGGCTTTCTCACCTCCATTGCCGCGCAGCGCAACTCCTCTCTTTCTCTCCATATACAGCTCTCCTCCATTGAAGCGCATTCTGACCTCCATTGAAGCGCATTCCAAGCTTTCCAACTCCATTGTAGCAGCTTCAAGGTAGGTAAATTTCGTGGTCTTCCTAATTTTATCTATTGAATAGCTTCGCAATCTAGGGTTAGTCGTTGATTCAGGGGTTGTTTTTTTTGTATTACTGGTATATAATAGCTTCGCAATCTATGAAACAAGTGTTGTTAGTTCATATGGGTAATCCGAAGTTGTTATACTATTGCTTTGAGTTCCCAATTTTAGGTGTTTTGAATCCCTGAAATTGTTTAATGCATGGTATCTAAGTACATATTATGTGCTTATGTTCATAATTCTTCTTACTTTTGTTCATTTGTTGTATATATGATTTAATCTTTAGATAATTATTGCCTTGGAGCTGATTTATGCCTATAATTAGGTGTTATTGATTGCAGGGTAAACATTATTTTGAAGTTGAATTTGTTTCTCTAAATGTCCTCAGCTTAGTGATGACATACCTTACCTAACTTCAAGGAACTTGTGTTGGTCTTTGTATTTCAATATGTAATTATTAAAAGTTGCCCTATTTGATAATGCTAGAATTTAGGTCCATTTTTTCGTTCTGATATATGGCTAGCTAGTTTAATTCTATGATCTAATTTGTCTTTCCTGCTCCTTGTTCCATTTGCTAACAAAGTCATATAGCCTACACTTATATCATGAAATTAAAGTTGATTGGTTACTACACTTGGGAGGGGAGGGGGAAACAGCCCACGCCGCAAGCTGCCCGCGGCTAGGTAAGTGTTGTCGCAGCCTGCCTGCGGCCTGCTGCTGCTCACTTGGGCATGGAGCAAACTACCCCGCAACCACCCTACCTGTTGCTGTCCTTCAGAGGGCCGCAACCCCACCCCCCCCAGTAATTCTCTTCCCCTCATTTCCTCTAAGAAAAGGAAAACAACCCCTGAATCAATATCAACTTCTGCAAGCTTCAAACCAAAACCATCATTACTTCCAACCAACCAAAAACCAACACCTAATAGAAATAAGTACCATTCCCGCCGTGACTTTTTCTTACAGTGGGTTAAAAGCAAATGGCTTGTTGATAGGCCACTTTGCTAAAGGATCAAATCCCCTCCTAGAGCATAATAATTATCGACGGTACCAAGCCAAGGCCTATCATCTCAAACAGCCGAAACCTCCTTTCAAAAAGTTCTTTTCTAGAGTTTCTTTACAGAGAATTGGGTCACCCTTTGTTTCCTTCTTTCAGATTTAAATGTTGAACAAGGATTTCACGATCTAGTTTCTACTACTTCGACCTGTGTGGGCCTGTTTTTTGTTGTGGTCTGGGTTTGCATGGCTTTGTGGGCCTGGTTTGAATTTTGATTTACAATTGATATACAAGTATATGTATTATTAGCTACTAAATTCATGGACTCACTTCTTATTAAAATTAGATGGACTTAGTTAAATGTAGTTCGATTGTCTACAATTGTTCAGAGTAATACCTCTGTTTGTGAAAAAAGTATCCATAATTAATGGAACATTATATGATTGGTGTGTTGCACTCCTTGTTCAGTTTCCTAAACTAGGATGTTATGGCAGGTGATTACATCTCATGGCGGACGATCGGGACCGTGTTTGTGTTGAGGATTTAGAGGATGATGGTGATGACTTATCTGAGGATGATGATGAGTTGTATGATGTGAACAAGGAGCCTGATTTGGGTGAGGCAGAAGATCAGGCTCAGGATGAGTTGGAGCGTAGGCTGGATGCATTTGAAATGGAGGCTGAACAAGCGCCTCCTATTGAAAATACAGCTTCTGAGACGGTTGGTGAGAACGCTACTTCCCATAATCAAAGCCAAGGACAAAGTGGAGGAGGGGTGAGGGCACCGGCTAAGAAAAAGGTGAGGGGTCCGACGACAAGTTTCAAGAAACCCGTCGGTCCCATGGTCCTGGAGTTCGACAAGGCGGGCCAAACTGTAGGCAAATTCCGTCGTCCATATGCTATTCACGTTGGCATTTGTGCGCGTAAAATCCCGATTACACTTCGTATGCGGGAAGTACCTCCAGGCTTGATTGACACATTTTGGAATGATACAAGGGCAAGTGTTTTATTTGCATATTTATACAATTATAAATACCTTTACTTTAATGTTATGTAAAAGGGGAAACTAATAATCGACTTTATTTGTGTTTGCAGAGTCTGTTTAATATTTCTAATGATGCCGCCAAGCGAAGGGTGTTTGAATCTTTGCTAGCGGAAAGATTCAGAGGCTTCAAGAGCGAATTAGTTCGTTGTTGGATTACAAAGAGGAAGAAAAAACCAAAGAAGAAGAAAGGCAATGATGATGAAGTCATCAATGAAGAGCTACTCCCATGGCAAAAATGGCCAAACATATCGAAGGATGATTGGGAAGCTTTTGTTATTCAACAAAGTACAAAGGAAGCAATTGTAAGTTTAAGTAAATTTGATTACAATTGTATAATATATTATCTCTTTTTGAAGTAATAATACTAACAATTCTAATTACGTAGGAACTGAGGGAGCAAAATTCCAAAAATGCAAAGATGAAGCAATACACCCAACGTATGGGGTGTAAGACATTTGGTGAATGGAGGGAAATGTGGGTCAACGAAGGAGTATACCCCACTTCGCTACTAGGGTCGTCCAAAGGACCCTTTTCTTCCACGATCACTACGCTGGTGAGTCGTGCTAGTGATTTCTTTTGTTCACTGCATGCGTGTGACAAGGAGACCGAAAAATGGGCCATCAAGGCTCCGGAAACCAAAGAAATGGCTGATAAGCTCGTAAGTAACTACGAACTTGAGAACTCTATGAATATTTTGCATAAATATCACTTATGGATGCTATTGGTTTCTGTTTTTTTTTTTTGCTACAGATTGAACACACTGAAGAACTGGTTGAAGGCAAGCTCGTCCCAAGTGTAGAAAAAGACCCTTTCACCTTGGCTTTGGGAAAGCCCTACCATCCAGGACGGGTAGTAGGTGCAGGAGGGTCATTTCTAGGGTGGGAAAAGGTGATGGGTCCAGAGTATACCAAATCAGGAAGATCCCGAGCAAGTGTGAACTCACCTCATGACTTGGTTTCCACGGTGGCATCGATTAAGGAACAAGTCCGCAACTAGCTCGTAAGTGAATTTAACGCTTGGGCGAAGCAAATGAACCTACCGAGCTTGCCTTTCCCCTCGAATACACCCGTCGACTCATGTAGTCACCCAAAAGGACAAGGGGAAGATGATATATATGGAGACGATGATGCAAATGAGGTAGTTTTAAAACTTTTAGTTTTGGCATATTGAGTTATGTAGGATCTAAGGTGGCAGTCATTAATTTCTTGTTGCAGGGTGGTACGCCTACACATGCGGACTCGAGGGAGCTCGATAATCCAGCACCTCATCATTTTCCAGATTTACAGGTAATTTTGTTTAGTTCTATCTTAGTGAATATGGGCACATTATCAATCTTAGTGAATATGGGCACATTATTAATTGTGTAGGAAACGACCCCTTGTGATATGTTTGGTTCTAATAACTGATCTTTCAAATTGGTGTAGGAAGAGACCCGTTGTGCACTTCTACACCCGGACGAATCTGGAGCTTTGCATGTGGTTTCATATGGTAGTGCACAACCGGCCGAACAAGGTACGGTCCATTTGCGACCGCTTAGGCCACAACATTGCTCGGTTGGGATCAATTCTGTTATTACCGGGTTCGAGGACATCCTAATACCGGTGCCCATAGAGGAGGATGAGTTCACTACACTTTGGGCGGCAAAAGGTAGCTTTGTGCAGTGGCCATGTGCTTGGGTAAGGTCGATGAACCAGGTAATTAAGATTTTGGGTTCGTTCGGTACTTTATGCAATAACGATTAACAAAAGATTTTTTCGATGCAAAGAATAGTCCCGCTCCTATAAAAATTATCCACTCAGTCCACGCTTTGAATAGCCTTAGTTTCTAGTAAAAAAGATCCCTCTTTATAATGAAGTTTTAAATAACTCATTGATAGTGGGCATCAAGTGATTGAAAAGGGGACGCCGGTTGTTTTCACAAGAGTTAGATGGATTTGTCTTTTCTAACCAATTGCGTGATTTGTTGTATTAGATTTCGCAAAAAAGAAAAACTTCAAAGAGGAAGGTGGAACAACCAATAAGCGTTGATCAACCGGTGCCAAAGAAGAGGAGTGAACAAAGGTCGGAGAGTGAAAAAGGGTCGAAGAAGAACTCTTCGAGAGGTTCAGCTTTGCAAGCTACTCCACTTGTTGCTGACACGGTCCTTCAAACGCTGTCTAAAGATTTAACATTTCTACACAACCGTGTTAGTATGTTGCCTAGTAACACTCCCATTCAAGTTCCACTACCTAAGGCAATGTTCCACTTTGATGAGGATGCAGTTGCATGGCTTAGCAAAGAAGATGTGAAAGAATTTCTAAGTGGTTCAATGCTTAACATATCCCTCGTTCAAACATTCATGAGGTAATTTAATGCCAGACACTATTATGTTATTCAGATTAGTGGTGATTGCTTGTCATTTAATTTCCCATTAATATTTTGTTACCATGCATGCAGAGCTCTACAGGAGCACTTACTTGAGATTGATTCTCCGTGTCAAGTAGGGTGGTTATGCCCGAGCAAATCTCCACTACTAGAATCTTAGGCAACTACCCTAACGTGTTGTACTATGTTGAACGGGGTATCAAGGAATCATTGCGTGCGGGTGACAAGTTCATATTCGCCCCATGTTTTGAGGAGTACGTTTGACCATGTCAAATTCATTTGTTTCCCCTAATTATATGTTGTACACGGCTAATTATTGACTTGTTTGTGTATTGTCCATTTCTGTAGTGCACATTGGACCCTGCTGGTGATTTGTGTTCCCAGTAACACCATCTTCCTTTTTGATTCAGCTCGATTGCCTCATCCGAAAAAGCTCCTCGTGAAGTCTATACTGCGAAAGTAAATATAGCTATCTAGTGTTGATTATCCTTACTTAACTCATTAATTATATTTGTCATACTAATCAAGTTTGAACTTACTTTTCTATAGTGCTATGAAGAATATAAATTGCCGAGCTCCTCAAGGTCCTACATGGAAATCACCGATGGTAATGCTACATGATTTTGTGATTTTTATAATAAACTATGTGTAAGATGTTGTCCTAATTTGTTATGCATGTTTGATTCATTTACTGTGTTCCTATGCTAGTGCGCACAACAAGATAACGGAGTTGATTGCGGACTATACGTGATGAGATTCATGTTGGACATAATGAGTCATTGCACAGACTTACAACAGCTTGATGAGGTATGCCATTGACTTAGTTAATTTGCTTTTGTGGTGTGTTTTGATAAGAGAAAACCCTTGAATTGCGTCTTAAAACCCTTGAATTGCTTTTTTAATGTGATTTCAAGCCTTAGCTGCCTCTAACTAGGTAATAATGACATGTTAAGAGGAATAATGAGCTATTTTGATCAAAAATATGGAAAATAGGCATACAAGTAGTGATATAGGCTTTATTCCAGCCATTTTGAATGAAATTACATCCAAAAACCATTCAAATACTCTTTTAATGTGATTTCAAGCCTTAGCTGCCTCTGACTAGGTAAGAATGACATTTTAAGAGGAAGAATGAGCTAATTTGATCAAAAATATAGAAAATAGGCATACAAGTAATGATATAGGCCTTATTTCGGCCATTTTTAATGAAATTGCGTCCTAAAACCATATAAATGCTCTTTTAATGTGATTTCAAGCCTTAGCTGCCTCTAAATAGGTAATAATGACATGTTAAGATGAATAATGAGCTAATTTGATGAAAATATATAGACAATAGGTATACAAGTAGTGATATAGGCCATATTCGGGCCATTTAGGTTGAAAATGCGTCTTAAAACACTTGAATTGCTCTCTTAATGTGATTTCAAGCCTTATCTACCTCTAAATAGGTAATAATGACATGTTAAGAGGAAGAATGAGCTAATTTGATCAAAAATATAGAAAATAGGCATACAAGTAGTGATATAGGCCTTAATCGGGCCATTTAGGTTGAAAATGCGTCATAAAACACTTGACTTGCTCTCTTAATGTGATTTCAAGCCTAAGCTACCTCTAAATAGGTAATAATGACATGTTAAGAGGAAGAATGAGCTATTTTGATCAAAAATATAGAAAATAGGCATACAAGTAGTGATATAGGCCTTATTCGGGCCATTTAGGTTGAAAATGCGTCTTAAAACACTTGACTTGCTCTCTTAATGTGATTTCAAGCCTTAGCTGCCTCTAAATAGGTAATAATGACATGTTAAGAGGAATAATGAGCTAATTTGATCAAAAATATAGAAAATAGGCATACAGGTAGTGATATAGGCTTTATTCGGGCCATTTAGGTTGAAAATGCGTATTAAAACACTTGACTTTGTCTTTTAATGTGATTTCAAGCCTTAGCTACCTCTAAATAGGTAATAATGACATGTTAAGAAGAAGAATGAGCTATTTTGATCAAAAAATATAGAAAATAGGCATACAAGTAGTGATATAGGCCTTATTTCGGCCATTTTTAATGAAATTGCATCCTAAAACCATACAAATGCTTTTTTAATGTGATTTCAAGCCTTATCTGCCTCTAACTAGGTAATAATGACATTTTAAGAGGAAGAATGAGCTAATTTGATTAAAAATATAGAAAATAGGCATACAAGTAGTGATATAGGCCTTATTTCGGCATTTTGAATGAAATTGCGTCTTAAAACACTTGAAATGCTCTTTTAATGTGATTTCAAGCCTTAGCCGCTTCTAACTAGATAATAATGACATGTTAAGAGGAAGAATGAGCTAATTTGATTAAAAATATAGAAAATAGGCATACAAGTAGTGATATAGGCCTTATTTCGGCCATTTTGAATGAAATTTCGTCTTAAAACACTTGAAATGTTTTTTTAATGTTATTTCAAGACTTAGCCGCCTCTAAATAGGTAATTATGACATGTTAAGAGGAAGAATGAGCTAATTTGATTAAAAATATAGAAAATAGGCATACAAGTAGTGATATAGGCCTTATTTCGGCCATTTTGAATGAAATTTCGTCTTAAAACACTTGAAATGCTCTTTTAATGTTATTTCAAGCCTTATCCGCCTCTAACTAGGTAATAATGACATGTTAAGAGGAAGAATGAGCTAATTTGATTAAAAATATAGAAAATAGGCATACAAGTAGTGATATAGGCCTTATTTCGGCCATTTTGAATGAAATTGCGTCTTAAAACACTTGAAATGCTCTTTTAATATGATTTCAAGCCTTAGCCGCCTCTAACTAGGTAATAATGACAGGTTAAGAGAAAGAATGAGCTAATTTGATTAAAAATATAGAAAATAGGCATACAAGTAGTGATATAGGCCTTATTTCGGCCATTTTGAATGAAATTGCGTCCAAAAACCCTTTAATTGCTCTTTTAATGTGATTTCAAGCCTTAGCTGCCTCTCACTATGTAATAATGACATTTTAAAAGAATGAATGAGTGGATTTAATAAGAAGTGTAGAAAATAGGCATACAAGTAGTGATATAGGCCTTATTCGGGCCATTTAGGTTGAAAATGCGTATTAAAACACTTGACTTGCTCTTTTAATGTGATTTCCAGCTTTAGCTGCCTCTAACTAGGTAATATTGACATGTTATGAGGAATAATGAGTTGATTTGGCAATAAATGTAGAAAATAGGTGAAGTAGTATAGTCATATAGGCCTATGTATAAAAATTTTTGCCTAACTTAAATTGTAAATGTATTTTTATATACATAACCTAAGTAATTAATTCTAGCTAGCATCATTTTTGTTTAACCAAGTTTTGCAAGGTACAGAAAGGAGGTCCATTGACGAGCAAAGAGCTGAATGAAGTTCGAGACATGTTAGCGTCTTTCATCACATATAATTTAATTTGAACTTGTTAACTTATACATTAATTATTAGTATAGTTTGTAAATATAACACCTTTTAATTAATTAGTTCTAGCTATAGTTTGTAAATATTTATGTATGATTGTTATATTCCAATGTAAAAATTATTATATTATTAGTATTTTTAATAATAATATTATAATAATTATAATAATAATACGGGTAATAATTATTATTATTATTACTGTTATTATAATATATATTAATGGCAGAATTCATACGGGATGTGCAGGTATTTAATTATTTTTAATTATAAAAAAAAATTAAAAAAAAAAACAGGTTTTTGCCACCGGTTTACACATTGAACCGGTGCCAAAATATTTTCCAAAACTGGCGGGCAAACTTTTGCCACCGGTTCAATGTGTAAACCGGTGGGAAAAACCTAGGTTTTGCCACCGGTTCACCCCAAAACCGGTGGGGAAAGTCTGCCATCTATAACATCAATCAAGTGTTTTTGCCACCGGTTCACTCCAAAATCGGTGGGAAAAGTTGTTTTTGCCACCGGTTTTGAACCGGTGGGAAATCTTTGAGGATTTACCACCCCCCAAATCAAGAACAGTTCAAAACCGGTGGGGAATGTGTGGTTTGAACCGATGGGGATTGGGGTTTTTCGCCTAGTGAAAAGACATACAAATGTGTGAGGATCTTAGACCATTATCAGCAGTGAGGAGAACACAAACCCCTCAATCTCTCTCTACCCACTTTCTCACTCTTCCCATCCAATTCCTCTCATGAGAGGTTTTTTTTACTACACCAATGCTCAAAAAAAAAAAACTCCTCATCACATTATCCTCCACTATTACTATACCCCACCATAATACACATCACCTTTTTTTTCTCCTTTTTTTTTAATAATGTTTATACTACATATTTAACTTTCCAATACAATTAAATATTTTTTTTTATTATTTACGTTTTAATTATAATGTAACAATTTTTAATAATTTTTTAATTATTTTGGTAATTTTTTATTTTTTTTTGTAATTTTTTTATTTATTCAATGACGGTTAAAATTAATAAATAGAACATTTTCAGTATAATTTTTTATTTAACGTTCTTATTAGAATATAATAATAAAAAAAATTACATCAATTATAGATTCTACGAAAGATGTTTTCTTAAACTTAAACGATTACATAAGAAGCGCATTTTTGAAATGAACACATAAACGGCAATACAAATACATCGGATATTAAATAACAGTACGATTACAAACTTAATAAAAGCGGTTTGAGCTAAAATAATACACGAAGACGAGTATTAAAACTTAAAAACGATACGATTACAAACTACAAATTTGCTTATTCGGCCGTATTATGACGAAAGTTCTGCCATATGTGCTCTACTAAATCTTGTTTGAGAGACGAATGAATTTCTCTATCACGAAGGGCAACCCTCCTCTGAAAATACGCGTTGAAATAAATGTTGGGTGGCCGCCCTACGTTGAATTCAAATGGCTCATTGTTATTCACCGTGGCACTTGTGCTCGGTCCCGCCCGCGCTGCTGTACGTTGTGGTCGATCTTCTTTGTAGTATCGTCTCAAAACATCTGCACGTGTGTAGTTGTGTCGTTCATCCTCGACGATCATGTTGTGCATTATACAGGCTTTCATAATGTCACAAAGAATATCTTCGTCGAAGGCCAGTGCTGGTTGTCGTAGTATAGCAAACCTAGCTTGTAAAACTCCGAAAGCCCGTTCAACGTCTTTCCGAACTGCTGCTTGTTGATCAGCAAACAACTTGTCTTTTTGAACTTGAGGATGTGTAATACCTTGTATAAAAGTTGGCCATTTCAGGTAAATCTCATCTGCCAAGTAGTAGGCCAACTCATATTGATGTTCGTTTACCCAAAAATGTATTGGTGGTGCACGACCTTGTAAAACATCATCAAACACCGGTGAACGGTAAAGGACATTAAGATCATTACATGAGCCAGGAATTCCAAAGGACGCATGCCAAATCCATAAATCCTGATCAGCAACGGCTTCAAGAATGAGGGTTACAGTCTTGCTACGACCAGCATATTGTGCTTTCCAAGTCGTAGGACAATTCTTCCACTCCCAATGCATGCAGTCTATACTACCAATCATGCCTGGAAACCCACGCAATTCATTTTGATGAAGGATTCTCCTTAAATCTTCATCTGTAG